ACATATATACACATATATATATTATAAAAAGTGGCCTGTGTGGCTCAGTTGGTTGGAGTGTTGTCCCATGAACCACAAGGTCACAGGTTCCATCTGGGGTTGTGTCATGTAAGGGAGGCAACTAATCCAGGTATTTCCCTTACATTGATCTGGCACTCTCTCTCCATCTCAAAAAAAAGAAAAATACTAGTAGATATCATACAACTGTTGGAGGGACTATACCATTATTTGTGAGGAAGTTTTGCCAGATAAATGAATGTAAATCTCATCAGAGTTCTAAACCATCTATTTATAGACAATATAAGGCAGCGGTTCTCAACCTGTGGGTCTCAAACCCTTTGGCGGTCGAACGACCCTTTCATAGGGGTCGCCTAAGACCATCCTGCATATCAGATATTTACATTACAATTCATAACAGTAGCAACATTACAGTTATGAAGTAGCAAAGAAAATAATTTTATGGTTGGGTCACAACATGAGGAACTGTATTTAAAGGGCCAGAAGGTTGAGAACCACTGATAAAAGGGATTGAGAAAACTCAGTCGAATAATCTGGTCAATTTAACCTGTCAACTTGATTGGGCCACTGGATAGTCAGGTAGCAGCTGAAACACTAATTCTGGGTGTGACTGTGACGAGATTTCTGGGAGAGATTAGTATTTGAATCTGTGGATGAGCAAAGCAGACAGCCCTCCACATGTCAGTGGGCAACATCCATCACTGACGGCCTGAAGAGAACAAGCACCTGGGAAAGTCGCATTCACTCTGCTAGACTGAATGCACCAGCACATCCACCTCCTGTCCTGGGTGCACCTGGTTCTCAGACCCACACTGGAATCTGTACTGTCTCTTCTCTGACTCAGGCCTTCACAGTGCAGTTGACTAAAAGCCATAGAAGTCAGTTATTTTGTATGTATAAATCTAATTTCATTTCATTTTGAAATCTTTGATCAAATTTCAGTTGGAAGTTGGATATTTGAGGATTAAAAAAACCTTGTTGATAATTATGTTATACCGAGGTAATGAATGGCATTAGTGGTATGTAAATTGCCCTGGCCAGGTAGTTCAGTTAGTCCCAATAAGCCAAAGTTTCAGATTAAAGCCGAGGTCAGAGCACTTTACAAAGAGCAACCAACAAATACATGACTGAATGGAACCACAAAATAAAATCAATGCCTCTTTCTCATTCCCAATCTCTCACTCTCTCTTTCTCTCTCTGCCTTGCCCCATCCTCTCACTCTTTATAAGAAAATAAGTTAAAAAAAGAAAATTACTTTAAAAATTTTAATGTAGAAGTATGTAAATTAAGAGTCTCTTTTAGAAATATATAATGAAAAGTTTACAAGTAAACTCAGAGATTTTCTGCCCAGAAATGGAAAAAGGCTGGTACGACTGTAGAGAAAAGTTGCAGAAAGCTTAGTTATAGAATATAGGTTCATCATAATGACTTCATAAGACTTTCTCTCCTATTCTGAATACCTAGAATATTCTATAATTTACTTTTTAAAAACCTAACCATTTGAATTCCATTTCAGTGTTTATCTGCTCTCATTTAGCCAAGGTTTCTCCTACTCCCTTCCTTAAGCTTCATCAACTTCCCTTCATCCATTTCCCTTCATCTCAGAGCTCTCAGATCCACTTCAACTCCTTTCTCCCTCACAGTTGTTTCAAACTGGTCCCCTTTCTCCACTCCAAATCCATCACCTGCTTCCCTGTTCCCACATCCCATCCCACCCAACAAATTTCTCATAAGAGATTGAGAAAAGACCAAGGCTGGCATTAAAGTGCCATCTGCTTGTAGGTTATATGGGCTGGATTTCAGGTCTGATTTCAGTCTGCCTGTGTCATTGGGGATGGGATTTTTGATCATCTGTTCCTCCAGAGACAGATGCAACCAGGAAAATAGCAACAGTTTCCCTTTCAGTTTGGTGTCAGCATACACATCAATTTAGGTAAACCTCTTGGAACCTCTGGTTTTATTTTTAAAATATATTTTTATAGATTTCAGAGAGAAAAAGAAAAGAGAGAGAGAGAGAGAGAAACATCAATGATGAGAGAGAAACATTTATTGGTTGCCTCCTGCAAGCCCAACACTGGGGATGGAGGTATATGCCCTTGACCAGAATCAAACTCGGGCACTCTATCCGCTGAACCAAACCAGCTAGGGAGGAACCTCTGGTTTTTTGTTGTTGTTTTGTTGTTGTTGTTTGTTTTGTTTTGTTTTGTTTTTTTACCATTGAACTTGTTTTAATGTTTCTTCACAAATGGTGAAAAATACTAAAGTACAGACAAGGAATAATCATAATGTTGTGGCCAACATTATAAATATGGAATTATAAATTTAAAACACTTTCTGGTTTAAAAAATAAATCTGGTAGTCAACGCAGCTTGCAGGGTCTCTGCATCTAGTAGGGCCGGTCTCTGCGTTCCTGACGGTGTTCACCTTTTTGCATGAATGGACCTCTGCATTGTTAAATACAAAATGCTTAAGGTGAAGTTTCTTTTTAAAAAATATAATGCCCTGCATTTTGCTTGCTTTCAAGTATTTCTGTTTCTCAGCCATCTGAATTAACTGAGAGAGCAAATTGAAAAGAACCTGGAGTGGTAAGAATATTGTTTGTACTTAGAAGAGTTACTGGCTGCCAGGCACTGCTATGGGAACCCAGGACTGAGGTTTTAAAGTTAACAACATGTGGTCAGGCTTATCACTGGGAATCAGATAACACAGATCACCCAAGGAAGCAGAAGCAAAGAGACTGACCTGGTAGGAGGATAGGATGGTGGTGCCGTGACTGGCTGCATGGGGTAGCTCCCAGGTACCTGGGGATAACTGTAGTTACTCTGTCCATATCCCAGGCTGGGCTGGTTGTAACCCCCCGTGCTGGATTGAGGTTGACTGGTCTCAGCGGGTTTGTTACCATCCTGTGGTCTTGCAGGTGCAGTGGTTGCCGGCTGTTGCCCATAGGCTGAGTAAGCAGGCTGCGTGCCATACGCAGACTGAGCTGCATAGGAGGCCTGGGTGGTAGTGACCGTAGCAGTGGTGGTATCATAAGCACCAGTGCCATACCCCTGGACAGGCTGACTGTAGGCCTGGGGGGCAGCTGGAGTAGTATAACCTGTGGGAGGCTGTCCATAAGAAGTCGCATAGGCTGTCTGCCCATAGGTAGCAGTGGTCTGAGCCTGGGTATAGCTGACATCAGTGGGCTGTCCATAGGTTCCATAACTTTGCTGCCCATATGCCTGCGTGGTCTGTGCATATCCTTGAGTGGGCTGGGCGGTGTAAGCACTGTAGCCCTGCTGGGCTGCAGCTTGGCTGTAGGTACTGTAATCCGTGGACGCCATTTTCTCTCCTTCCTCCTCGTTCTCTCAACGTCTGTCTGGAACCTCTGGTTTTAAACAAAAATATTTGACACCAGATAATGAGATATTCTAGAAGAAGATTCCCACAGGCAGCTTCAGACCAGCACTTCAGAGCACTTTGCACTTATAGATATTCATCACCCCTTAGGTCTGGTTGGGATCCTGGTATCTGTATTTTTAGCAAGCATTTAGATGATGTGCATTTAGGGCAGTGATGGCGAACCTATGACACGTGTGTCAGAGGTGACACGCAAACTCATTTTTTTTTGTTGATTTTCTTTGTTAAATGGCATTTAAATATATAAAATAAATATCAAAAATATAAATCTTTGTTTTACTATGGTTGCAAATATCAAAAAATTTCTATATGTGACACGGCACCAGAGTTAAGTTAGGGTTTTTCAAAATGCTGACACGCCGAGCTCAAAAGGTTCACCATCACTGCCCTAGGTAGTACCCTTGCTGGTAAACTCTCTTTTGGCTTATTCCCAACGAAAAGGCAACTCAAGGTAAAAACCATTCCACTGAACCCTGGGCCTCCCAAGGGGAACACAACCCACTAGCTCCATAATGGCACTGATCTCCGCCAACTCGACTTCCGTCCTCAGGGCTGGGAGTGTGCCGAATATGGGCAGCCTCTACGTCTCATCAGAAGAACCCAAGGAAATAATAAGGAATGATCAACACTTTCTAAGGGCTTGCTATGTGCTGGCTCTGTGCCAAGCACTTTATATACATTATCTCACTTAATACCAAGTGACATAAAATAAAGCTCACATGAGAAAAAGGCCATGCCACTCATTCATGCTAATCCAGTCCCTCAGCCTCTGTGAGTGACTCGCTCTTGGACGGAAGCTGTGTTCTGGGCCTGCTGCACTCCCAGAATCCCTAGGTGTCTCAGCGGCTCAGAGTGCGCAGCTGGGGCCCACGTGGGGAGGATTTATCGCTCACAGGCCTTCTGTCATTAACAGAGATAAATCCAGGTATTGTCATTACGGTAATGGCCTCTGTGACTAAGAGGAGTTAAATAGAAAGTCAGCGAATGTCAGATATCTTGAAAAATCTATTCACCATGAAGTCACCTTCTAATGTGTTTGGTGGAAACAATAACATCCATTTTCACTCCAGACACTGCTCTCTGTGGTAAATAATATCACGAGGTGCCTCTATCCTGTAAGTCCCCAGAAACTGTTTCTAATTATTGTCAGAGGCATGTCAATTACCAACAGAGCCTCCAGGCAGCCCTCGATGTGGCTCTGATTAGAAACATGTTTTACTTCCATTTCTTCAGATGTTTCTATCTCCCTCTCCCTTCCTCTCTGAAATCAATAAAAATATATTTTAATAATAATAAAAGTAAAATCTTTGCTTCCTTTCCAACTTGGGCCTGGCATAATGGCTCCAGCAAAGAAGGGTGGAGAGAAGGGCCTTTCTGCCCTCAAGGAGGTAGTGACCACAGAACACACCATCAACAACACAAGATCTCTCACCATGGATTGGGTTTCAAGCAATACATGAACTATATCTGCATGTTGATGTGAAAAACAAAACAAAAATCTGTAGATATATTTTTTTGTAAAAAGAAAATTGTAGGGAGCATTTGATATCTTGCTTCACAGCAATGGTCAACGTTTTGGGCTCAAATAAATGCTTATAAATTATTTACTTATTTTTTGTTAATCCTCACCCAAGAATTTTTTTCCATTGAATTTTAGAGAAAGTGGAAGAGAGAGGGAAAGACAGAGAGAAACATTGACGTGAGAGAAACAACAATAGGTTCCTCCTGCATGAGCCCAGACAAGGGCCCTGGTGCGGGAAGGGCCTGCAACCAAAGTATGTGTCCTTGATTGGAGTTGAACTCCGACTCTTTGGTCTGCAGATCGATGAGCTATCCACTGAGCCAAACTTGCTAGAGCTCTTATAATTATTTTTTTAAAGGAAAGTGTAGAACACAGCAAAAAGTAGTCTCATATTATATTATGAAACAATCCTATATAATGAAAGGCTAATATGCAAATATACCAAACAGTGGAACAACGGAAAACCAAACAACTGGTGGTTATGACGTGCACTGACCACCAGGGGGCATGGGAGGAACATGGTGGGCATGGGCAGCAGGTGGCAGAGGGCAGAATATGGCTGGCATCAGCTGTGGTGGGATACTGGAGCAGATGAGCAGGGTGCCAGACCAAGGCGGAGCGCCAGTTGCTGTCATCAGGGTGAGCTTCTGATGATTACTGAAAATTGTTTGCTCCCATGCTCTGGGGGCAGGTGCCCTACACACTGTAGTCCCGCCCAGGACTCACACCTGCTACTGGAGCCGTCCATGCTCACACCCACTGCCACTGCCCAGTGCGGCCCCTATCGCTCAGTGCCATCAGTGGCTGTGAGCTGCTTCAATACCAGCAGCAGGTGGGAGTGAGGCGTGGCCAGCAGCGGGTGAGAAAGGTGGCTGCTGACCCCAATTGCCCCTCAAGGTTTCTCCACGTCCCCCTGATCCTGAGGAGCGATTAGGGCAGCAGCCATCCCTCGCAACCGCTGTCAGATGCTGGTCCTAATAGCTCCATGCTGTCACTGGGTTTGAGCAGGGTGGGCGCAGTTAGCAGGGGGGAGAATCTTCAGTGTGAGTGGGGGCTGCAGGGCAGACAGGGGACCAGGGAGGTGACAGGAGGGGCCAGGCTGAGGGGGGGGGGGAGGATGGCACAAGCCCCGTCCCTGTGCCCACCATGACCTCCCAGCCCACAGTTCCTTTCAACGTGCATGAATTTGTGCACTGGGCCCCTAGTTAATATATAATGAGTGTCTATGCTTGTGTATTATGTATGATTAGGATGTTTTTGGATGGATACAGAAGACACTTAAGGATGGTCAGGCAGGAAGAGTATAAGGAGGTTGGGTGACCTCTCTCCAGGTGAGAGAGCAATTTGCTTTTCAGTGTGTCCTACTTAACAAGTGATTTTTACTAAATTTATCTATATTGTTCTAATTTTTAAAATGCTTCCCATAAAATAAACCTAAATGATGTTCATTGGAAAATAGTTACAATCCAGGTGTTAGTTTTGCTCACTAAGGAAAACCTTTATCCTAGATCCTGTTTGGACACAGCCATTCCTGTGGAGGAAGTCCTCAAGTCACATGATCTCTGTTGTCTGGAGGGTCAGTTCTCTCATAGTGGGGACTCCAATGTGATCTGTGCACCCAGGCTTCTGTCTCAGGGCCACACATCTACTGAGAGCTCATAAAATGTTTGCTGGATGGCTTAGTGGATGGAGCATTGGCCTGGAACTAAAGGGTCCAGGATTCAATTCTGGTCATGAGTACATACCTTGGTTGCAGGCTCTGTCCCAGGCCCTGGTCAGGGCTCCTGAAGGAGACAACCAATGGATGTGTCCCTCACACATCGATGTTTATCTTTCTCTCTACCCCTCCCTTCTATTCTCTCTGAAAATCAATGGAAAAAAAGTTTCTGGATGCATAATTCAGTGAGATGCCTAACTGGGATTGATGAGATCAGACAGGCCTGGGTTAGAAATGCAGATCTGACTGTTTCCAGCCTCCCCTGCAGATGATTTTGTCAGGAGCAATGGGCAGAACATATGAGAGTCTCTATCCCAACCAAACCAAGGGTTTGCTATTACGCCCGTAGGAAAGCCTGGATGGCTGCTACCCCCAGGCTGCTTGGTAGAATATCAGTGCAGCGCAATGAAGGCATAACTGTCTGGCAGACCCTGTTCTTCCAGGGAGGCCTGGGCTGAAGAACCAAAGATGATGTGATCTGAGCATGGAGCCATGATAAGAAACCTGGGAAATCCACACTTTCTAATCCTTACCTGAGGGCATGCTTAGAGAGAGGGAGGGAGAGAGAGAGAGAGAGAGAGAGAGAGAGGGAGAGAGAGAGAGAGAGAGAGAGAGATGCCCTGACTAGGATGGAACCCACAACCTGGGTATATGCCTGACCAGGAACTGAACCCATAATGGGATGATGCTTCAAGCAATGGAGTTACCTAGCAAGGGCAATACTTTTTCAGAACAGAACTTGTATATTAACTCAGTAATTTTTATGGCATTAACATCATAGCCATCTCCCATTGAGCCCTGAGCTCAATTACATTTTAAGTGGTAGATTCAAAACCAAAAGATCTGGTTGAAGAGGATTGGTCTTGCCCTGAGCAGTGTGGGTCAGTAGATTAGAGTAATCATCCCATACACCCAAAGGTTCTTGATTTGATCCCATGTCAGGGTAAATGCCTATATTTCCAATTAGATCCCAGTCATGGTGTGTATGGGAAGCAACCAATCAATGTTACTCTCACATCGATGATTTTCTCTATCTAAAATCATACCAGGGTCCACCAGACACCTCATTTAATTATTCATCCGGCAGGCCTTGTATAAGCCTTTGCTAAATGTGAGGCCCTGTGTTAGAAGCCTCGATGAAAAGATCCCCCAGGAACCCACCATCAGAGACTGACAGCCCAGACAACAGAGAGAGGTGATGTGGTTTGAGACTTCCTCCATGTGGATGGCTGTCTATTCTGTGAATAGGAGAATGGGTTTCCTTTAACCAGCAACTCTATAACCTGGACACTAGCAATTTCCCAGTGAACGCCAAATAAACTTGTGTGTGTGTTTTTTAAAGTCATGATATACAATTTTTGTAAAAGCACAGGTATTATACTAGAGTACACTGAAAAACACATTGCTTTTTGCATCCAGACCTCCAGGCTTTCAGGCTACTATACTGCATTACCATTTTTCAGTTTCTTCTGTAATTTCCAGGAATATACTATTAACAAACAAACATCCAAGCAAAAAAACCTTTTTTCTTGTTTTATTTTACATTATGAATGTGCTATGTCCCTTGCATTCTTACTTTTTTTTTTTTGGTTTTTGCAACTTTACACTTTGTGTATGTGTGTGTGAGTGAATGTGTGTGAAAGCGAGTTTACTTGTGAAGCAGTGAGATAGAAAATGGGCTACTCCTCATGTTATTGGAAAGGGTACCTGGCCCTGAACCAGTC